CAAGTTTCTGGCTAATATTGTAGTGTTTAATATTTCGCTTAAAACAATTCATAGAGAATTTGAGCCCTTAAACTGTTTTGAATTTATTATTTAGTTCTAATTTGAACGTACAACATACCTCTTATCTCTTATATCTTTCCCTATCCCCTACCCACTATCTCCTACCCCCTATCGCCTACCCCTTCTCTCCTACCCCTATATCCTACCTTCTGTAATGGTTTTAACGAAAATATCGATACCCTGAAGCTATTAGAGCTTTGTTACCTTAATTATAATATTAAACAGTTTGAGTGAAATATAACAGAATACAATGTCAATGTCAAATGACACTATATAACGTCCAGTTTGACGTTTATGTGGACAAACTTAAATCAGTATATAGCAAATATATTTAAAATTGGGTTCGGTAAAAAAAACGTTCTCTCTTACGTTTAACGTCCGTTATTCCCGCTGTTTCGTATCGAATAGTTGTTGGTGTGATTGTGGTATAATCGCTTGTGTTGTCGCTGGAGTGGCACCAGAGTGACACAGGAGTGAACATGGAGTGTACATGGAGTGAACCTGGAGTGTACATGGAGTGTAAATGGAGTGTACATGGAGTGAACCTCGAGTGTACATGGAGTGAACCTGGAGTGTACATGGAGTGAACCTGGAGTGTTGAGATGGTGTTTGTTCTTCGGTTGTCTGCAAGAGAGTGAGCTCTGAGTTAGTGTCGACCTCCTTATATAGTCACAGGTAAAGCGTGGATGCCGGTGATTGGCCGAGGGCGTGGCGTTTTCGGACACTCTCATTGGTCGGAAGTGGGCTGATTATGATAACCACCGGTGTTGGTTGTGTTGCCGTAGCCGTGGCAGCAAACGGCGTAAGCAAACCACGTCATAGAGAAACCCTGTTTCTGTTCTATTTCTTGTTTTTATATTAATTAAATATATACATTTTAAAAAGCGTAAACACCCGCCGATCGGGGCTTAGACGGTTAAGATTTGGCAGTTTTGGGTTTATTATAGCTGGCTGCCGACCTAACGCTATCAAACATGTTGGTCCCAGAGAGAGGTGCAGGTGGTCATTTTTTTCCCAACACAGTTGCCCGCCCGGAGAAACAAACCGCTAGTGGCCGAGGTTTAATTCGGCGACCGTGCGTTGACACAGTGCCGCCTTATCTCACTCCGCCACTCGCCTGCACCACGGGTTCAGTAAAAAAAACGTTAGAGCAAAAAAAATAGCCAAGAGTCTAAAATAATTTGAATACTTGAAAAATACATTTAGTAATTATATCAATAGCAGTTAAAAAACAGAATCGAGTCAAACTACTTGTGTTCTTACTTGTTGCATTAATTTCGTCTCTCCTATTTGATGCCATGGTTAACCCGATTCGGTGTATTCCGTATTTAACTTATAGAGTTGAAAGTAACAAAACCTGTAAACAAATTACATTATTTAATCCCCAAGAGTTAACTTATTCGGATTCACCACCAATGTAAACGTAGACCATAGTAATTATAAATTAACCGAAGTAGTAAAAAAATGTTTTCAAAAATGTATGTAAAACATTAAAATGTAGTAGATGTAGATGTATTGTAAATAGAATATTTATAAACAATTTTTTTTTGTGCAATGTTAATGAAAAACATTTTTACAATATAAAAGTATGTTTTTATACCAATATATATTTTATATTTTACAACTATTTTTACTCAATACTGCGGCTTTGATTAATATTTTAGAACATTATATAAATATGTCTTTTATAATAAAAAAAATTGTTGTATAAAAGTTAATCAAATATTCTACTAACACAATAAAATATGTTTTAAATTATTAATACAGGATCATAAATTAATCGTGTTACAGACACATTTTCGATGAATTACTTTTTTTTTAGCTAAATATTTCGAAATTAGGTATTTATTATATTTAAGGAACAAAAATAGTGAATGATGTTAAGTTCAAAGTATTAACACAGTAAAAATTAAATTATTAAATTATATTAAATTTATTCTATGGTATTAAGGGTACCTTTTAAAAGTCGAACAACCCCTTATGATTTATATATATGTTGCATACTAATAACTCAAAATATATATTTATCCAAAAACAGTTTTAGTCATTCATTATTTACATTACATCATAGAACTTTTCATAGATACAATTAATATATTGGTGGTTATTTGAAGGTTTTAAAGTTACTTACTTAAGTAATAAGCTGTTTTGTTTTTTATGTATTATATTAAGTCGATTAAATGAAATAAGTTGAAATAAGAAGAAAAAAATCAATAACGGCTCTAAAAATTGCCAGTTTTCGAACTTTTTGAACACCCTGTATAACACCCTCCTGTCCGAATCTACATTGTAATGTTTAATACTAATATTATTATGTATAGCTGCATGAATAATTTAAATTGTATTTATAACCTAGGTAGTTTTTTTTTTTGTAGCAAAAGACAATGACATCTCAAGACGAAGTACCAAAGCCTAATTTCACCACAAAAAACAATTTATAATATTTAGGCAAAAAAGTTTAGAACTTAATTTTAAAATACTTTAGTAATTCAACTTAGTCTGAGTATCTCAGAACTTTTGGACATAACTCCTGTATATTTAGAAACAAGTTTCTAGTGAAAATAACTCTAAAAATATTTTCAAAATATAACTAATTTTTTTAATTTTATAATTTTGCAGTTAGTTTGTAAATTTCTTGCTTTAGTGTTAACTTACACTCGCTCAACTATTAATAATTTGTAAACTTAAATGATATTTTATTGGAAAAATAAAATAAATAATTAATATTATTATATTATAAATAGGTATTATTAATATACAGGGTGCTTCATGGGTACAATAAATGGTGTTCATTTTTTAAAAATTTTAAAACTATTTAAAGTAGAACTCTTATCTCGTTAAAAAATTGTTTAACGAAAAAAATAATTTCAGATGTGAAATCAGGAGTAAAAATCTTGTTGAATTGATATGTAACATGATTTTTTGGTATCCAGCCAAACAATATTATATGTTTATTTCACAAAAAATAATTTTTTCTCGAAAAATTCGTATAATAACAAATTAACAAGTATCGAATTATTTAATAAACAAAATATTCGAATAATTAAGGGGATTGCATGCGGTCAGTTTTTAAGGAGTTTTGTATAGGCAATATTTAAGAAAAAAGTGGTTTTAATAAATTTTGATCATGCCAATCAATTTACCGGTTAATTTGAATATGCTTCATGGTATTATTTTTAATTTAAATTATTTTGTCTGTGAGTAAAAACCATTTTAGTTAGTACAACATACATTTTTTGTTCCGTCGCACAGGCTGAACCAGCGATCCGATAAGTAATCTGAAAACAGATTTGAATTTGTCATGAAGTTTACTTATGAACGGTCAGGGTACTTTTTTGATATCTTATTCTTACTATGTATAAAACACAAATTTCAAATTTGGAAAGGGTTGAAATTAAAAATTGAAAAAAGTACCCTGACCGATCATAAGTAAACTTCATGGCAAATTTAAATCTGCTTTTAGATTGCTTATCGGATCACTGGTTCGGTCTGTGCAATGGAATAAAAATGATGTGTTTTGACTGAAAAAACCGACCGCATGCAATACCCTTAAGAAAAAGTTATCATAGACGTACCATTTTTTTTTGCTATTCAGCGTATTTGAGTGTGGCAAGAGTCTGATATTCGATAGCTGCAACAGGAATGGACTACTGTAACGTGACTACTGGTCGGCCACGGTGGTTGCACCAGCATCAAAGCCGTCGGCCAGGGTAAGGATCAGCCGAACCACTCTCTCTGCTCACCGCCGTGCAATTACTAGCGCGCCCCGTGAAAATTAATGTTGCCCAGATCAACGCGAATATAAATCACACTACATTCATTATTTTTAAATGAACAGCTAAGTGGATCAACATTTTTTTATATTCTAAATCAGTTTTAAAAACTCCTATTATTAGAAAATTATATAAAAATGATAATTATTTTTTTTTAAATAATACAAAAAGTATACCTGTATACTTAATATATCCAAAAGTAATCAATGACAAAAATCGTGAGTAAATTATATATTTCACTCAGCAGCAGTGTTTGGTAGTTAAATAATATTGTAATCTTTTACCAAAATAAATACAACATGATATTATTCTTTTTAAACGTTTTAAGTATTAAAACATTACGTACCTGGTAATACATACATGCTTCGTTTTAATATACATGTACCGGGTGATTGGTTAACTATGGACCACTCAATATCTTAGAAGATATTAGACTTTTTTAATTTTTTTTTTTTTATACTTTTATAGTAATTAGTTGGGACAAATTTTATATATATTTCAAAATTTTAACACCATCCCTTATGCGTTAAAACCATATCAACTTTGGATTTTTAAATGGTAACCCCCAATTTTTTTTTGATGATCCTGTTTATTTTTTTTAAATTTAATTTTAGGCGTAAAAACTAGGTAAATCGATTGAGTAGTTAACGAGCTACACAGTTTTAAAATTAAAGGGAGTGTAAAAAATAAATTAAATATCTTGGAGATGCTAACATATTATGGTGACACTTGACTGCTCTCTGTTATTATTTATTGACAATTAACTTTGACAATAGCTATAGTAGCGTTTAAAAATCATAACCGTACCAAACACTATTTACTTTAGGTATATAATTCACCGATAGTAAATAATAATGATAACCGCTATATCGACTGACAAATATACCACCACTACACACTTTTACATTTATTTTGTAAAATAGTAGGTGTAGGTATAGTAGTGTAGGTATGTTTAATTTGTTATCAATACCTTGTGAATATTTTTCCAGCATTTAGCAATTATTCGTTTTGGTTAATTTGACACATTTTGTTTATTCATGCGATTTGTACGTCTTAATTTCTTAGTATATTATAATAATATACTATCATAACTTACTAGATCTATGAACTGTCAACATTTATTGTGTTTTAAATAATAACATTGATGTTAAATATCCATAATAAATGTGAATACCGAGATGGAGTTTTGCTCAAGTGACAAATCTATAAAACCTAAAACCTTACTTATAAAATGTTTGCACATCAAATGTCAAAATTAAAGGTACTTATAATAATATATTATTTAAAATAAATAGAGTAATTTGAATTATGCTTCATGATATTTAATTAAAACTTTTATTTTTACAGTATTATGTCTTTGTTCTGAGAAACTTATAAATGTGTAGTTTTATGTTTTACTATATTGGTATCTGAATTCAAAGAAAAAATATAAAATTTTTTATGAAAAAATTGAGTCTTCAATCATCGTTTACTGAATCAATAATAGGTAAGATAATGTATTTATTGATATAGGTGTATTGTAAAAGTACATTTTTTTATTAGAAAAATATAATTAATCGTTTTTTTATTATTCATGAACTTATAAAATGTTTTTACATAATCAGTTTTTTTGGATTACTTATGTTTATCATACTTAATATGTTTTATTAAAATGCGTTACTTAAAAATTAACGTATAACTTAAAAATTATCATACTTGTATAATTATAAAAAATATATGTGTATACTGATATTTGTTGCTTAACCATATAATTATTTAAGTATCTAAGAAACTTATTTAATTTTTTTAATTAAATGTTTCAGTATGTTCAATATTAATATGGACTATCTCAACTTACATTGATATTTGTTATTGTCTACAGCTACACTACTACCAACGTCAAATTTGGTGTATTATATTATTGTAGTCAAACAGTCTAAACCAATTCCATCAATACATTGTCGAATGTTGTGGCATTCAATTTTCAGTAAATTTATAGGTGTTTTATTTTAAGGTAAAATATATAAGATCATCAGTTTGCAATAATTTAGTTAATTTCTATGAATTCATCACTAACAATTTATTATTATTATTATTATTTTTTTAGATACTGTGGCACACTATTGCAGATAACGGTTTTCCATTAGGTCAGTAAAAAGAATAAGATGGATTCACAAGTTCAAATCAAATATTAGACAACTATATATATTTAGTTATTCAGCTAAAAATGTAATTCAATAAAATAATTTAAAAGTACTTTATCATGTTAAAAGTGACATAAAGTTTTTAAACTCTAAGTATTTAAACACACGTATACTTAACATATCTATAATTATAATACATTATTTATTAATTATTAATGATGAATTCTTTATTTAATATTAATTAAATCTAAAATGCCGCTGAGAATGTTAACATTTCTGAAATATGTTATTGTCTTAATCCAAATCTTGAAATTATTTTCATGATGGCATAGTTTTGACATTAGCTATTACAGAATTTATTGACAATTTTCTAGTGGTTTACGATTAAGTTTTTATAAGTAATAAAGTAAATAAAATTATAAAACACAAAATAGAAAAAAAAAGTGTTAACTATTGGATTAAGTGTAAAAAAGTAAATTGAATGAATATACTTATAAATATTTTTTAACTTAAATATGTAAATGGAGATGGATTTCTTCTAGTGGGAAATCATCAAACAAACTTTACCGCCCTAGGTAACTTCCTATAAATACATCACTATACACAGCAATATGTTGTACCTCTATTATTTACAAGTTAATTATAGGTATGTTAATTTTATTTAGTCTTAATTTTTTAATATGATTTAGCAAATAAAAATGTTTATTCGTATCTTAAAAGCATATTATTTATCTTGTTACTTGTTTTTTTATTTTACTATTATCATAATAAACATAACATAATATAGTATTTAAATGTTTGTTAGTAGTATTATTATTGAATTTTAAGCTTATGACTGTTAAAAAAGCTGTACAAAAACAAAAAAAATTGTACTTTATCATTGTCACTCTAAATTTTTGCTTATACCTCGTACAACGAGAAAAACAACCATTTATAAATATACTATACCTATATACCATTAATATACCTATATTAAATAAGAAACATACTTTTACTGTTCATATGAACACATTAAAATAAGTAAGAATAGTCAATACTATGAAATATATACAGTATAGGATTAAGGTGGTAATATAATAAAGAGTTAATAAATAAATACAGCTTTTAATAATTAAAAATACTGAACTAGAAATAGTTAAAATTGACGCGTTACAACTTTAAATTATAAAAATGAAAATTTATTTTAGCGCACAAGTATTAGATGAACGTATGACTTATGGAATCCTTTGTTATCTAAACATTTTAATAAACACAATAGATGCCTTATAAAGATGTTGTTTGACATCTTATGTACCTATCATAAACCAGTTCGAACAAATGCTAAAATAGTTTCTGTACATATTAAGTTTAGTTTTTGTTTATTTTTGTATATATTCTGTACATATTATCTATTAACTGTATGTAATACAATATTATACTAAAAAAACAAAAAATTGAATGTTATTTATTAAAGTTTTTTTAAAAATATTTTCACTAACAGAATTAATAATTTGACTAGTTAAGACACCAGTACAAGTAACACTTATTAAGACCAAGACGCTAAATAACCATTATAATTGAAAAATTAGAATAATGAACTTTTTGATTAGTTTTTAAGTAGTCGTATTTTTATAATAATTTGTTCTGTGTTGATATTAATCTACGCTAGTAACGAATCGTTTTGGTAGAACTACGGTATATACTCTATATAAGACCGTGATTAGACCACGGTAACCTATGGTTGAAATTGAAAAAAAAAACTAATTACTAGGGCTCATAATATTGCTTGTTAACAGCAGCTAATGCCTAATATTCAATACGTACAGGTACATTGCACCGCTAGGAACACTACAGAAAAAACAGATAAGAAGACATTACCCATATAATATTATTATAGATTTATTATTAATTCGTTTTCATTGTGACCGACGACCGTCAACTATTAACTTTAATCTACAACCCTATCGTTAATCAATCTTATTTTGTGAAACGTGAGATCCGGCGATAAACGATTTAATTTCTTTAGCTGTAAAACTTATAAAAGCATCTCATACAAGCTAATATTATAATATTATAGTACTAAGCTATAACTTTAAAAGTACTTGTCTGATTTAGCTAATTTTTACGCCTATAATTAAATTTAAAAAAAATAAACACGATCATCAAAAAAAAATTGGGGGTTACCGTTTAAAAATCTAAAGTTGATATGGTTTTAACGCAAAGGGATGGTGTTAAAATTTTGAAAAATACATTAAATTTGTTCCACCTAATAACTATAATAGTACAAAAAAAAAAAAATTAAAAAAGTCTAATATCTTCTAAGATATTGAGTGGTCCATAGTTAACCAATCACCCGGTATACTTACTGTAAAACGGAGCAGGCTTTATGCAAAAAAGATACAGCGAAGTACAGCTAGACGTATCCAAACGGTTTCACGGCATCAGAAGTTTTGGCGTATACCAATTGTCAGAGATCCTAATACACTGCGAGATCAAGTAGTTAAGCGATATGAGCAATTTATACATTTGGTTTTATTAGTTGGGTATGTAATATATATTAGGAACTAGAATAGAGTAAGTACGTTGGCACGATAAAGCGCGGTTGAAGTGACAGCAAGAATTTAAACGGTGTCAATTAAAGTGAAAACATAATTTTATAGTATTTTAGGGACTTGTTGTGGCACTGTGGACATCTCGATCTGTCACGCAACACTTCAAGTTAAGCTGTGTCCGTTGATGTTTGATCCTGGATGGGTGACCACCGGGGATTTTTAGAGGTGACCCATAAAACATGACTTTTGTCCCCTTTCTGCAGTCAACGACTCATTTATTCTTAATTAAAAATTACACCTTCTTCTCGTTTGCCTTTATCCCGACTATTGGGGACTAATAACAAACGTAAGAACGGGGAAATATAATACTAGAATATTCCTTTTAAATAAATCGTAAGACCTACATATTTGTTTCTGTAGCAAACATACATGGTAGTATATTATGTAGAAAGTGTATGCGTTTTATCGTGTTGTATTGATTTGTTTTTTGTTTAAATTGGCGATGACATATTATTTCAAACAGTGGTTTTTCAATATAAAAATACAGCAAATACTCGAAATCAACTATGTTCAATATTATAATATTATTCAAAAATTGTTAGTGTAGAAAATAAATAATAAAACAATGTTAATAACATATTCACAGTACCCAGATTTATAAAGGGCGATTCATTTGATGTAAGACACTCATTTCTTTGGAAAATATGAATATTTTGGAAATTATATTTTTTCTATATTCGTAGGTACATATATTACTATATTTTTCAAAACTTAAAAAATGTTTACTTTCGTCCCTTGTACGTGAAATAAGTATGGACTCCGTTTTTTTTTTTTAATTTCAAAACAACTTTAGCTTTTAAATTTTTAATTTTCAACAACTTATTCGCTTACGATGACTATAAATATTTAAATTTGTATTTGTTCGGTGTTTAAAACAGTAGCATTCCTGTTTAACAATAATATTGACGCCCGTCGATAACACTGTCATCTGCGTCTGTAGATAGTATATAATGATTGATATTCTTTATAAGAATAATACTTAAGGCAAGTTCAATATCAGTCTAGCTAGTCTAACTTAACTTAACTGATAATAGATAACAGTGTTGCTAATCTAATCTAACTGCATTATAATAACTTGATGGTAAAATAGTTTTTTTTTATTGACAACTATTATTATTGGACGATTTATGAGAAACTATGTACACACTTTATGAACAAAGAAGTGCTTCTCACGACTCACAAATAGCCTAAGTCCTAAGATAGTTACTTTGATAGAATACAGTGTGATGAAAAAAAACGTAAGAGGAAAGATGGAAAGGGAAAAAAGGGGTTTGATGCGATTGAGAATGATATAAGAATTGTTGGTATGCGTGAAGTTGATATGGAAGATCGTGAAGGAGAAGAAGAAGAAAATGTATTTCTCATATGAGACAAAAAATCAAGGTATTTTTTTAATATTTAAGTTGTATATTTTTGAGTTGTATATTACAATTTGGTCCAGGTTCAAATTATAACAAACCGTTAATATTTTTGGAGCAGTCAGCTTATTGAATGGGTACGTTCATGTGTGGGTTGGCATTTGTAAGATATTCTCTACAGTATTCCATCCATTACGAACAACCAGTATTGCAAGCGTCCTAAACTGCTCCAACGATACATGGTCTGAAATATCGCAAAAAAGTAAATTTAATTTAAAATTTCAACATATACTTAATTTTTTTGGATAACGATATCAGATCGCCAAAAAAATGAAAAGTAGTTATGGGACAAAACTATACAACAATACACCATATTGTAAAAAATTCAAATAAAAACTCTTTCTGGTTCTATTAGATATTTTTTGTTAACTCACTTTTGAATATCCTAATACTTTATTCAAGAAAAAATTGGCCGTTTTAAGCAACTTTTATATTTTATTGTATTTTTTACAATTTTAGTTTCTTTTATTCAGATGATAGTTACGAGTAATTTTACACCGTTTTGTTAATTAACAAAACCCGGGAAAATACAATGTAATATACTTAAATTATTATTTAAAAATATTGTTATCGAGTGTATTAAATCAATAATTGTTTTATCAAATAACATACAACGCTAATACATATATGTTGAATTTAATTTGTAATGTAAATTTATACTTTTTTCCCAAATTTTTTATGATTTAAGTTATACTTGAAAGTAAATATATAAATGATTTATTCCAAAAATTGTATGCGGTGGAAAAGCGAGTGGGTTATAAGTTATAATATATATGAAATTAAAATCATTAGCAACTAACTACTTAAAATAGGATAAAATATATTTAATTAAAAAATAATATTGTACAATATTTATATAGTGAAATAAAAATTTCTCACACACATGTTTAGAGCATATATTTTGCAAATATACTTTTATTAGAGGTTTTTAATTTTAAAAAATTAAAAAATTCTATATACACCTATGTAAACCTGTTGCGTTGTATCCACATAAAAAGGCGTATAATCTACCCTCACACACAATTATTTTAACTTAAACGTTAAATATTGTAACAGTATAATTATTATTATTATTAATTAATAACATAAAATATTGATCGCTCTGCTCAAACAGTACTAAT